CATTGGAGAGCGCCACGTGGAAAGTCAACCATTCCCCTCTTCAAAGAGTTAAAGGTGGCATGGATCCATGAAAATCGGACATGTGGCACCACGGTTTTGTGACACGTGTCACGCTCTAAAAGTTGGTGAGGTGGACCACCAGTATCGCGATATGTGGCAAACAACCGGAGTAGCCAACAAGGATGACGTGCCCGATGTGCATTTCCAAGTCCTATAAATAGAGCTCATTCCCATATAGATTCCTTACATCCATCCCCTAGAATTTCTCTCTCTCAGTCTCTTTCGATATTCTCCCCTGTAGAGCCATTTTCCCTTAGTTTTCGGCCTCCGACGAAGCCCTACGATGCCCATGAGTATGCATCCGAGTAGTAACCTTTTAGTAGGAGATTCGAAGTCAGGATTCTATCCGTTTAGGTTTTGGTCTTCATCGAAAATCTCTGTAATTTAAGCTACACTTTAGTCTTTTCAGTGTAACTTATATTTTAGTCATGAGTCGTTATTATGAACCTATAAATAAGATTTATCAGCAATATTCCTAGTCGTTATGCTGATTGATTTACTTACGGGAGATGTATCTAGAATGGTCATGTTGGCTTGATTGTTGGATTTCAAAAAAATCTATATGCCTAAATGATCCTGCCTCCCAATCGTCATGCCTAGTTGATCCTTATTTGATAGATCTTGATGTTGACATTGAGATTATTAAGGATATAGACTATTATTAGTCACCAGGATCATTAGAATAAGACTATGTATTAATCATAATTAGGTCACATCAAGGGAAAATCTAAGGTGGTAAGGCGAAGCGCGGCCCTAAATTTGAGTCACCTGTGTTTGTCAGGTGAGTGCATAGTTACCTTAACCTTACACATATATATCAAGTATTTAATTTTCATAAATGCTTTATGTGCTTATTATCTGAGTTTCTGATATCTATGTTACATGAGATAATGATTTTTCTAAAATATCATATATTTATTTTACCATACTCATAATGTATTGGGTAGGACCGGTAGAAAGAGATAAGAGAAATGAGATAACAGTTAAGGACCATAAGAGTAGAGACAACTGTGAGAGACCATAAGAGAAAAGAGATAATGGTGAGAAACCATACCAGAGATAGAATAATGGTGAGAAACAATACCAGAGATAGAAAAGTGGTGACAGACCATGCCAGAGTTAGAGCAAAGAGACCATGCCCAACAGAGATCAGCCATCAAGTAGAGTATTGACGGCGACCACAGACTATTCTAGACAGTACATTGGATCTAGCAGACTTGCAATCTATAAGTGTTAATGAAATCACACAAACCGAGAGTATGGATTGTGGATTCATCTAAGTACTTTATTTTTTCCCTGTTTACATTATCAACGTGTAACCTTTAGGATAGAAGCCTTGGGAGGGAGGGAGGAAGAGAGAGAGATGGGGGGATATATATATATATATATATATATATATATATATAGAGAGAGAGAGAGAAACAAGAATGGGTAATCGGCTTAACTGTTTCGTGTGAATTATATAAAAAGATAAATTATATTAGTGTGGGTTGAAAACCCTATGTACTCACCAGGTTTTCCAACCTTGAGAGAGAGAGAGAGAGAAATAGAAAGAGAGAGAGAGAGAGAGAGAGAGAGAGAGAAAGATATATATATATATATATATATATATATATATATATATAGAGAGAGAGAGAGAGAGGGAGAAAGAGAGAGAGAGAGAGAGAGAGAGAGAGAAAGAAAGAAAGAAAGAATGAAAGAGAGTAACGGGAATAGGTAATCTGGTTAACTGTTTGGTGTGAATTATATAAAGAGATAAATTATATTATTGAGGGTTAAAAACCCTATTTATTCACCAGGTTTTGCAATCTGACACATTCAGTTTATTGTATCATAGGTAATTATATATGATGATATAGGTAACTACCGAGAGATTCAAAGGAGATATAGACTATTACTGTAAAGAGATGTTGTAAGTCTTCGTTTATGCTTATGTTTATTATATTGACAATGACATCCCACGTTTGATAAATACAATACATTTCTTGGAAATGACTTGATAATATTATTATCATATTTTTAGGACAAATTCCGCAAAGTAATTTTTTAAAAAGGATACTCTGATTTATTAAGCATAAACAAAATCGGCATTTTCTAGCAGTAAAAATGGGGATATCACGTGCCCTCATTGACATTCATGATTTAAAGCTTACACTTCGAAGAGAAGATGAAGAAATAACTTTTAAAATGAACCAAGAAGTGAGTCATGAGAAACCTTTGGATGAGGTGTAAAGAGTGAATGATTTGGAGTGTGTCAAAGAAGCCAAGGAAGTAGAAGAAAATCTCAATGAATAAGAGGAAATAGAAAATTGATGGAGGAAGAGATCAAAGCATGGAAGAACCCGCAAGTTGAAGCCAAGCCACGAGCTTCAATTCCTATACTTTTGAAGTATTCGTGTTCACTACACCTAAGACTCAAGTGGAGGAGGGAATTGAAGAAGAAATTTTTGATTCAAGTGATGATGAGGAAATGAGCGAAAAATAGATTGAACAAGACATAGACAAGCCAACCTTTGACATGATGGAAGTGGAAGGACATGAACCAAACGAAGAAAAAGGGAAGACACGACTTGTTGAGAAAAGAAAAGGGTTAAAACGCAAACACGAGGAAAGTACCAACCAGAAAAAGAAGGGAGAGTTGAAAAGGCGTACATATGGCGAGTTAAGGCGTATAAAAGAAGATGGAGAGAAAAAAAATGAGAAAAGGGAGACTCCACTCCCAACCACAATAACATAGAGTGGGAAGGAGTCCGGCTTACGACTCTGTAAAAAAAAAGCGCTTATCGAAAGGCAACACGACTTTTTTGTTTTTGGGTTTAGGTCATTTTTAGTAACTGAACTTTTCTGAGTGTTTTATTTTGGTCATTATACTTTGTTTAAGCTACCATTGGTCATTGAACTTGTTTATTTTTGGTCATTTTGGTCACTCTAACCGATGATAGCCGATATATAACATTGTCAATATTATATTTCTGTCATTATATTTTTGGTTATTTTGGTCACTCTAACCGATGATAGGTATAATTTTGCGCATCAGGTTTGCTCACCCTCACCCTCAGTTCCCATCACCTCTTTTCAACCTCCAAAACAATAATATCCCATAATATGAACCTTGAACTCCATTTTTGGTGATTTCTAGCCAAAAAGATGAAGATGACGAGTTTTGATGCATCATCTCAGCATGTAAGCCTCACCATCATCTTTTCTCACACTCTGGACCTTTGTGAGTATTAAAAGTTCCATGCTTTATGATCTTAAGTGCTTAGATCTAGATTTTTCATGTGTGTTCTTCATATTTTGGCTAGTTGGGGTGCTGGGGTTCCGTAAAGTTGCCAAATTTATAGATCATAAGTGCCACTTTATGGTTAGATGTGATGGATCTGAAGTTTGATAGAGTTTTGGACTCTTGCATGAGATCTTGACCCTATTTGACATCATTTTTGACTTAGCTTTAGTTCAAGACATGCATTGGACATGTATATCTATAAAGTACCGATTTTTATTATCTTTTAGGAGTATGAAAGCCTTCTGGAATGCGTGGATTGGTGCAGAAAAAAGATTAACAACTAAATGGATTAAGCTACCCAAAGCGTTTCTCATAACGACGTGACACTTTGGTTGTCATGTCGTGACAAAGGCTGATCTGCGACTATTTTTTCTCTATTGTGCCACGATGTGACCAAATAGTGGTCATGACATGGCGACCAGCTGAATGACTTTTTGAGTATTGACTTTGACCGAATCGTTGACTTTTTGACCAAGATTGGCTTTAGGTCAAACATAGGGTTTTGGGTTCTAGTTTGAGGAATAGTCATTGTTTGATGTGTAGGTGACCTATAGAGCTGTTTATCGGATCGGTGATCATTACTTTTATCTTTTGGACTGCAAGGTGAGTTTCTCACTATACCTATGGTCGAAGGTACCAATGCTAGCCCACTATATTATGTTTTGTATCCTTGTGTATAGGATGTTGTTATGCTATAGGGGTCTGTTTGATTGGTAAATTTGCATGATTACCTGTACTTGCTGGTCATTTATTTCCTGTTTACATATGTCGACATAGTATAGTTTGGTTGAGGCGGTACGACTTTAAGCCGTAGGACAACAAACCCAAGGTCAATCTAGTTTTATATTGTGGGCCCAATGTACATGTATTGTTTATGTATTGTTGTGTGAGATTTTTTTTTATTTTTTTATTATTTTTTTAGGTGGGGGAACTCATCAAGTCTTACTTTGCAGTTGTTGATTTCAATGTTTTTAGGTATTTCTAATGATAGGAACAAAGTGAATGCATGATCGTACACATCCTCATATTGTTCAATGTTTTGAAAGATTGACTTGATACTCTGATTTTCTTGGATATGATTTGAAAACATTGGTTGTTTATCTTTGGTTTCTAGTGGAAATGTTTATATATATATATATATATATATATATATATATATATATATATATATATATATATATAAAAGATTACACATATGTATTTATATATTTTATACTTTAAAACACACTTATATATATATATATATATATATATATATATATATAGAGAGAGAGAGAGAGAGAGAGAGCTAGGTTCAAATGTTTTTAGCAACTATTGTGTGCATGAATGAACCAATAGGAAATTAGGAAAAAATAAATCATTTAAGGGTATTATAGTAATCTTTGCATAGTTAATTATGGTAGATTAACAACAATTCCTTATATCACGCAAGAAGCAAAGATAAATATAGAACATTAGCCCTAAATTGATTTGAATCGGCGCATCTATCTTCCTCCTCAACTACCCGATTACAAAATTTCTTCTTTCATTTCAACAGGCAAAGGGCATCTTGACTAGAAACGGAATTCTCGTCACTCATTTTCCTGGGCCTTCGATCGAAAACTCATTCCGACTCAATCCTCTAATCTTCCCAAAAATCAAGCAATCAAGCGAGATGATAGTCATCGGAGGCGACACATTTGACGGAACAACAATGACAATCATCGGAGGCGGCTCGGTCGCATCAATCGCCACCGCAACTTCACTCGCAGTCCCCGAGAAGCGCCGGCAGTTGCAGGCAGAGGAGGTTGGCGGTTAGGTTCACGTTTCATCGGGATCAGGATCTTTCTTTCCAGGCTAATTGTTGAAGAAGTCCATCAGGTTCACTTTTCCTCATTTACCCTTCGTTATCTCCTATTGCATCTAACTGTAAACGAAATATTGTATCTCTACTTGCTGTTTGTAGATCTTGTAACATATTGGAAGCATTTTTGAAAAGATATACGTTCATTACTTGTTCTCTGTTGATTCATTGAATCTAAATTTCAACAAGTTTTAACTGTTTTAACCCAGTATACACAATCAATTTTTTTTAGTTATCGATGTTGTAAATATGTTACTGTAATGAGATATGTGTATGTATATTTGGTTCATATTGAATAATTCCATAGCATTTTGAGCTTGATAATTTGTTGAAGTACATGACAATATGTTCTTTTAGATCTTAATACGGTCGTAGATTTGATTAATGTTTTTGAGCTCTCATATGATTACATATGTTATCTGAATTTGAAGTTGATTGATGCTTCGTTAAAGCTACAAGAAAAAATTTGACCGTCAAGAAAATGGTCAAGAAGTTCAAGAGGCCACACAGTGATTGGAAAATCTGTGTCAAGGTACACAATCTTATCTCTATAATCTTCTCATTATCATTGAATCAACCTGTTTATTTGCTAAAATTGTGTTTATAATAGAATTGGTTTCCATTCTTGTTATTGGTCTCGATTCTAGAATGGAATATCGAATTCTAATTTTATAATAGAATTGGTTTCCATTCTTGTTTATGATAGAATTGGTTTCCATTCTTGTCTATAATAGAATTGGTTTCCATTCTAGAATGGAATATCGAATTCTAATTTTGTCATAATAGAATCTTGAATTCCTTGTCAACTTAAGTAGTGAATTACCGTAACCAATTCTGTCAGAATAGAATTGGTTTCCATTCTTGTTATTGGTCTCGATTCTTTATAGAATGACATCCTAAATAATGAAACATTACATTCTTTTATAATAATATACATTGCAAGTTTAGGGACGATTGTTAATGTTGGTTTGTAGAAATTATAGTTATATACTATTTGAGTGTATATCACATTCTATCAGAATTTATTGTTTATTCTATTTAATGCACTAAAATTTTTAATATTTGAAAGTTGATTATGTTTTCTTTGTGAATTTAGGTTTTGAAGAGGTTGCCATTAATGTGGAAAATGAAGAAAACATGGAGAACAATATTGTATTCTAGCAGAATGTATTCTGTCCGAATTTATAAATTTTTATTCTTTCGGAATGTATTAGAGTTTTTGTTAGATTTTGCAGTTTTTTTCTTTTTTAACCATTTTTAGTTTTAATATTTAACAATAAATGTAATCCTTAAACCATTATTAGTCATAAATTTTTTAGAATGAATGTAATATTTGTTTATAGTTTTTTTTTTCTTTACGGATGAATGTAAATAGTGATTCGTAAAGAATAAAATTTGTATTCTTTAGAAAATGTTATTCTTAATAATATGTTGTATAATTATTAAAGCATGTTTAATATAAAAAGTATCTTGAATTAAACAATATTCTGCAGAATAAACTGTAAATTTATTTATTAGTTCATTGTTGATTTTTCATTATTCTGACAGAATAAAGTCGGTTATTATTAAAAATAATATTAAAATTTAATTAGAATTAATTTAAAAAATTCATATTTTTTAAAAATAAGGGAATTAATGATCCCTTAAAATCCGAAAATTCCCTTTTTTAAAATAGGTTAATTGACCAAAATACCGTTTTGCTAAAATTTGTGTGATTATATGATACATACTACCTTATTGTAATATCATGGACCCTCAAATCATGACTGTTGATTCTATTCATCCGGTGGTCCAGATCTGTGCATTCTGGCACACAATAGTTAGTAAAAACAATATAACCTAACCCTATATATATATATATATATATATATATATATATATATATATATATATATATATATATATATATATATATATATATATATATATATATATATGGCTAATGTCATAAAAACCCTCAAGTTTTCAGAGTTTTGTCGGTTTTGCCCAAAGTTGAATTTTATGTCCGTTTTTACCCTAACATTTTCCAAAAAATGTTCGGTTTTACCCTTTTACCGGTGATAACAGGTTACCATTATATTAGCTTCCCAAAAAAACCCTTAAGTTTATAGTTTTTTTTACGTTTTTACCCTTAAGTTTATATATTTTTTTACACTTTTACCGTTTGTATTTTTTTTCTTCATATTATATGTATTCATGCAGAAAATTTATATTTATATACAAAAAAAATTTAATTAAATATTGTATTTACATTTTTTTAATGTTATTTCTTCATATATATATATATATATATATATATATATATATATATATATATATATATACACATATATCTGTGTGTGTATGGGTTTTTTCTTGGATAAACCATTTAAGATGTAAAAAAACGCAAATTAATATGTTTTTAGAACTACAAGTACATATTTTTATGCATTTAAAAATATACATGTCAATAAAAAAAACTTGTTGAATCATAAACATGTTTATATAAGTATATACATATAATCTTAGAAGTGTAAATATGTATTTTGATATACTTTTTTTAAGTATAAATATATTTTTAGAAGTATATATACATATTTATATATAATAATGTAAAAATATGTATTTATACTTCTAAAAACTATATCTATAAAACACGTATTTATAATTCTAAAAATATTATTTATTTTTTCAAATGGTATAACCTTGCAAACACACACACAAACAAACAAACAAACATATATATATATATATATATATATATATATATATATATATATATATATATATATATAACATTAAAAAAATATGAATACAATATTTAATTAAACATTTTTTGTATATAAATACGATGTTTCTACATGATTACGTATACTATGAAAATAATACTTAGGGTAAAATTGTAAAAAAATTATAAATTTAAGGGTAAAAACGCAAAAAATGGTAAACTTAAGGGTTTTTTTTGCGAATTTAATATAATGGTAACCTGGAAAACCTGTTATTACCGGTAAAAGGGTAAAACCGAACATTTTTTCAAAAATGTTAGGGTAAAAACGGACATAAAATTCAACTTTGGGCAAAACCGACAAAATCATGTAAACTTGAGGGTTTTTATGACATTAACCCTATATATATATATATATATATATATATATATATATATATATATATATATATATATATATATATATATATATATATAAAACTTAAATATTTTTTCTCTGATTACCACCAACAATTAGTTTCGATCACCATTATCAGTCCATTCCGGCGACCACATCAACTCCAGTCCGAGAACAAAATGAAATGAATCGAAAACCAAAGCAAAATTTGTAAGCAAAAATTACAACCAAAACCAAATCCAAACGTGCAAAGAAAAACTAGTTGCACAAATTTTGTTAGATGTCAACCTACAAGTTGCACAATTATTTTTAATTATTATATAATAAAACAAAAAAAAATGTTGTTATACCTACTATTTGTGCATTATATTTGTTAAATGTTAGACCTACTAGTTGCATAATTATTTAAGAAAATTACTAATCTAACAAAACTCGTTAAGACTTTTCACATTTTAGGCAAAATTTAGGATTTATGTAAAAATAGTCATGAATTAGGTACAATATACTAGTCAAAATATAGTCAACCGCCCATAAAAAAGAAACCATAAACCATAGGTTTTTAGATGAAACAGTAAATCATTTTTAATCTACTATTTGAAAAACAGTTGATTTATTAAAAACAACAGTAGGTTATTTTTTCATCTACGGTTTTTTAGTGAAAATTAAAAAAAAAAAAATTCCCTATACGTTAAAGCTGTTGAAACCTTTAAATTGACGAAACAATAAATCATTTTAACCACTTACGGTTTTGATGGATAATCTTAAATTTTGGTAAAAAGTTAGAAGGAATTTGACTAGATTAACAATTTTCTTTAATTATTTTAGTGGTTGCCTAATAATACCCAAAAAAAAAAAAAAAAAAAATTAAAACGTTTTAGCTTTAAAAGTACGAAATCGAGGTGGATTGTCCCTAACTAACCAGGGCGCCAAAATTATACCCAAACGTCAACTTAAACTAATCAGGAAACACCAGGAAATTGATTCGAATTAAATATCGACGACTTCTGATTACCGGCAGTTGACTTCTTCAAACATCTCGAATTCCATAGCGAAGGGCTACCCGACTTCGAAGTTGATTTTTCATATCTATATATACACATATATATTTTCTCATAAAAGCTCACAGTTAGACTTGCTTCAACCTGCAGGTATGCATCCTTCATCTTAATCGTACATTTGATGCTCTTACATTGAATCTTCGTATTTAATTTTGGTCGTTATATGCTACAGAATGATCTAAATTTCAGTATGCATACTATACTTCGTGTACTTGAAAAGTAGGGGACCTAGTTTAAAGCAATTTGAGTAGTTAGAACTTATCATTACGGATTTTCAGTTTTGTATATGATTGTTTTGTTTCGTATGAAGTTGTTTATAAACTGGATCTTTGTTTGAATGAATTAGGTGTCGATAACTGGTAAGAATTTGAAGAGTAGACTTGTGTTGGCAAGATAATTCAGAATGAGTGTGATTGGGTTTGATATCGGGAATGAGAACTGTGCTATAGCAGTTGCAAAGAGTGGTGCGATTGAGGTGTTGTTGAATAACGAATCGAATCGTGAGACGCCAGCTGTGGTCTCGTTTGGTGAGAAGCAAAGGTTCTTGGGTTCTTCAGGGGCTGCGTTTGCTACTAAGTTTCCAAAATCAACCATTTCTCAAATCAAGAGATTGATTGGAAAACTATATAACGAACCGAGTGTGCAAGCAGATCTTAAGTTGCTACCTTTCCAGATCAGTGAAGGACCTCGTGGTGGTGTTTTGATCCATTTAGAGTACATGAAAAAGACATGGACTTTTACGCCAGTGGATATTTTAGGGATGTTGTTTGCACATTTGAAGCAAATGACAGAGAAGAATCTCGAGTCTCCTGTTGTCGACTGTGTGATTGCGATTCCATCATATTTCACAGACTTGCAAAGGCGTGAGTATCTTCATGCTGCTTCTATTGCTGGTTTAAGACCCTTGCAGTTGGTCCATGATTGTACTGCTGTTGCATTGGGTTATGGTATGTTCAAGACTGATTTTCTTAAGAAAGGACCAACTATTGTTCTATTTTTGGATATTGGCCAATGTGACACTCAAGTCACAGTTGCTGCTTTCGAAAAAGGGAAAATGGAAATATTGGCTCATTCATTCGATCCCAACTTGGGAGGTAGAGATTTTGATGAAGTCTTGTTTTCACATTTTGCGACACAATTCAAACAGCAATACGGTATTGATGTTTACACCAATGTTCGTGCTTCTGTAAGGCTTAGGGCTGCATGTGAGAAGTTAAAGAAAGTTTTGAGTGCCAATGTAGAAGCTCCACTTAGTATCGAGTGTTTGGTTGATGATAAAGATTTGGTTGGATTCATTACACGGGAAGAGTTTGAGAAAATGTCAGCCAAATTGCTAGAAAGAGTTACTGATGTTTGTCATATGGCCATAAAGGACTATAATCTACATAAGATACATACAGTTGAGCTTGTTGGTTCTGGGTCCCGCATACCTTCTATCGTGTCAAAGATATCTTTTCTTTTTAAAAAAGAACCAATGAGAACACTAAATGGCAGCGAATGTGTTGCTAGAGGATGTGCTCTTTATTGTGCAAAGCTTAGCCCGACTATTAATGTTCAAGATTATGAGGTTTTTCTGGAATACTACTCTTGTATATATATACAACAAGCTTTAGCTTTTGTGACATATCTTAATTCAGTACTATGTAAATAAAGTTGGGCCTTATGGTTTTCAGATTAAGGATATTTTTCCTTACTCAGTAGGAATCTCTTTTGTCGATGGTGAAAACAGAAGAGGCCCAGAACTTATGCCTTTTCCAAAAGGCAGCTCATTTCCAATGAATACAACAGTTTCATACGATGGAAATGCTACAGTTTGGAGTGATGTTTTCTACACCAACAAGATGAATTCTGCACAACCAAGTAGAGTTGGTCGTTTCAAGGTAAATGTTTGATATGTGTGCACTTGCCTGTTACAATAATATTGCCTCTTAATTTTTTAAGCATTCCAACTTATATAAATGTTCTTTTAGATCAGTAGCGATCAAATCTCTGGTGAAAAAAATGTGAAGGTCACAGTTAATGTGAAGCTTAATGTCCATGGAATTGTTGAGATACAATCTGCATCGGTGAGTATTGTTAGTTTGTTTCTCAAGTTTCTCTAATGTTGAAATTAAACATATCATCATTTCCTTCTCTTTTTTTGTTTGTTGCTTCAGGTATTAGAAGTTAATCAAGTTATACATCCTCCGATTGATAACTCTTTTCAAAGCCGGACGAAACAGCTGTTAATAAATAATTTTGGGTGGAATAATGATGCTGCTTATAAACCCACTGATTCCACCCAGCTGGTTAATCCGCGTCATGTAATCTAAATTTCTGAATAAATTAAATTCTAGTTTTTTTTTTTTTTTTTTTTTTTTGATGAAGCTAGATAGATAAGCCATGGCAAAACATTGTTTCACCATGCAGGCTGTAGAACCAAGAAGACGAAGCAACAGGGGCATGGAGCAGAAGCTTTCAGTGTCTGAAAATCATCATGTCCTGACAACAAAAGAAGAGATAGAAAAAGCTCAACAGAAAGCACAGATGTTTGCAAAGCAAGACATAATGGTGGAGAAAACTAAAGAAAAAAGAAACACCCTGGAGTCTTTTATCTATGACACTCGCACCAAGGTAAATATTTTCAAAATAATTATAATTTGTGTGCATGAATTTTACCTTTCGATTATAAGAGTATTGCATACAATTTCATCCAATGTTTTCATTTCAGCTTTCGAGTTCCTACCGAAGCATGGCGACAAAATCAGAGGTGGAGATTATCTCTAACCACCTGCAAGACACCGAAGATTGGCTTTATGAAGAAGGTGATGACGAATCTGAACAAGTCTATATCAAAAAACTTGAAGTTCTCACGAAGGTGTTTAAATTATATGCAATTTTTAAACTTTTGATTTTCTTCCCAAACAATGCATCTAATTACATATATGCTTGTGTAGTTATTGGTTCCAATTGAAGTTAGATACAAGGACGAAAATGATAGACAAGAAGCAGTAACATCTCTGCAAATTTGTATTCGAGAAAATCTTCAGGCTGCTCCATCTCATAAGAAACAAGAGGTATCAATTAACAAGCTTTCTAGCATCGTTTTTTATGATTGAGAAGGGCTTTTAGGTCTTTTGCTCAAAAACTTTTCGTGTTTTCTGGCAGGTTAACAATGAATGCATTATAGTTCAGGGGTTGGTTAATCGTCTCTCTCAACCGCAGGATTCATTGACCAAAAACGTATACTACACGAGTATCATTAATGGAATCACAAAAACTTTAAAGGGGTTAGTTTCTTGTTATTCATTATTTCTTACTATAATACTTTTCTTATATCAGGGGAATCTTATATATAATGTTTTTCATCTATCTTGTGGAATTTTGTTTAGCAATTCCTGACGTGCTACTTTAATGTTAATTTCTACAGGAGGTGTGAAGTCATATTGAATCCTAAACCTTCACTTCTGAATTATGAAGAGCCTGTGGACTCATACCTAAAGCAGAATCCCAATTATCAGATGCAACTTGATAATTGATCATCCAGATCTGTTTAGATTGGTGGGATCAAAGTAATAGATGGTATTTGAGTTTCCTTTATAATCTTTGGCTTCTGTTTTGAATAACGTTATAATGCGTATGTTTGCTGTTTACTGTGTGTGAGCACTTTATATTTTTTGAGCTATTTATGTACTTGACAAGTTGTCATACTTATGAAAACGCTGTACATGCTTTGGAAATACACTGTATCTTTTCTTATCTTTAATCGACTCAAGCTTTGTTTATCGTTTTCCTGCTTGTTTAATTAAGGATATTTTTGCAATTTTATTTTTATCATATTGTGTTAATTCAAGAAATGATATGGGGTATGAACGATTAGGACTTATGACTAAGTACTGGAAAACTGATCGACTTTGATGACTTCTTCCTCATTTCTTCAGAAGAGTTTCTTTGTTTGCTTCCCATTTATCCAAACGTTTGCTAGCTTTTTCCACCTGATTTTCAAAAACTTCCCTTACTTCTGTTTTCAAGAAAAGAAAAAACTAAAATATAAAAGAAAACCTATATTTTAATATTCAGTCACCTCTTTATTCCAGTCCGTACGAAACGTTGACCAAAGTAATATAACGGTTTGCATTGCAGTTCCTCCGATCATCCCTGACCATATTCCCTATATATACGATAATTAAGATAATCTTAAAAGAAATTAAAATCCTCTTACATTGTCAGAATGATGTTTTTCTTTTAAAAAAAAGTACAAACTAGTTGATTGTATGTGTACATATGGTACCTTGACTCCGAGGTTGAAATAGAAGCCCATAACACATCCAAGTGGAATGCCCACAACATAATAACATCCGACATTCACATACGCCACAAATGCTTGCCATCCACACCCAACAGCCACTCCTTCAATTTATTTTTAAACTCGGATTTCATAAGTCAACACATATATAATCGTATAAACATGAGCATATACTTAAGTAATTGGGAAAATTATTATATATAATAATATATATACCTGATAAGACTGGTTGGATGCCATTGAGAATGATAGTGATGGCCAATAATGGACAAAGATCTGACACTGCATTTGCAACGGTTTCACCACTAGTAAATGCGTAGCTAATAACATGTCGCGTTGACAAAACAATCATCGCTTCGACTACAGATATAAGAAATGAGACGATGGTCACCGTTACAACTGAAAAGGCTGCGGATTTTGGATTTCCTGCTCCAAGCTCGTTGCCAACCCTCACACTTCATAATATCAAAGTTTGATTTATATTGTTTTACAAAAAAAAAAAAAAACATATAAAACTATTATTAGAATTATGTCATTTATTATTTGTTAAAGCTTTAAAAAACCAACCTAGCAGCTGCATTGAACCCAACTGAGACCATAAAAAGCAGTGCACTGACCCCCATGCTACATAAAAATTATTATATGTAACATACAAAAAAGCAGTTATTAATAGTTTAAAATGGCCTAACAAACGTTATTCGATAAGGCAAAATGTGATGAATTGAAGATCATGAGACTTACCAAACGGAAAGTGCGTCTAATGCTAACTGGGGATCCTCAAGCAACCCCGCAATCAACACTAGTATTTGATAATACCATGTCTCCAAACACAACATCACAGCAGACCCACTTGACAGTTTTACAAACTTCCATAACCCACAGAAAGCACTAGAACTGAACCCGTTCCACGTCTCCTTACATCTATCGCTAGTCAAGATGTAAACCAACTGTGCAAACACTATGATCCACCATGACAGGCTTAGAGTCAACGAAGCGCCAATCAAGCCCAACCCCAACTTGTACACCATGACCCAAGAAAGAATCAGGTGCAAACCTAAGGCTCCAGCTGAAATATATGCACTTGGCGCCACAATACTTTGAGCTTGAAGAAATTTCTGTATAGGAAAGTTAATGGCGTATGCGAATACTTGAGGAATGAGACCATAGACGAATAGGGTGGCTGCTGACGCCATTGATGGCGATTGGCCAAGTAAAAGTAAGATTGGTTTAGAAAACACGTAAACCAGAGTGATCGGGATTCCTGTGATTGTAAGAACGATAACGGATCGTTGAAGGTATACTCCAAGCATATCATATTTTCGTGCCCCAAAAGCTTGACCACATAGCGTCTCCACTGCACTGCCCATTCCCAGCTAGAAGCACACAAACCAAATTACCAATAATGCGTTAGATCATACACCGACAATTGGAAATATGACAGGAATTTAAACTATAGCGTTTTCTAACTGTTGTATTCGTAGTTTTGTCACAAATTAACTATTATACATCTATAGTAGCAGCTAAAGTACTCTAAAGTAAATAAATAATTAAGTGTAAGTATAGCAAATTTTGCGCTTTTAAATCTGTTTTTATATATTGTTATTTAATAATCGAACTACATATATCTATCTCACACACACAGACAAATGGTGGTCACCGGGCAGGAATTCAGAAACTCACCATGAGACCATAGGCAAAGAGTTGAATCCCCTGGTTACCAAGGGAGGCTGCAGCGAGCTCTAGATTGCCAAGCTGGCCCGAAAAGATTCTGGTGGACATAGACATGGCGTTGTTGATCAAGTAAACCATCACCGCCGGTGCAGCCAGCTTGTACAGAAGATTAAGTTCAATCCTGGATGCCACCAAAAGACGGTTCATTAATGGTGTCTCTGTGTCGGAAAGCACACTCTCCAGCTCAGCACTGCCGCCATGTCCGCCGCCAGTACCGTCTTGAATGGGTTCTAAGAAAGGTTGATGAAGTTCGTTATTTTGGGACTCCATTTTTGTGAAAACAGATGGTTGGCTTTGGCTTCTCTTTTTATAGAGGAAAAACAATTTCTTATGCCTCTCTCTCTCTCTCTTATATATATATATATATATATATATATATATATATATATAGGGTTAAGTTCAAATGAGAACACTATTTAATGTGAGAACACTACTTTATGTTATTATTCTACTATGAATTTAATATGTATAGTATTGTAGTAATTATAATATAAATATATTTAATTTTATATTGCTATTATATTATAAAATTTATAAATATGTGTAGTAATTTAGTAAATTCTAATGTGAATGTTAAATATGTGATTGTTCATATATTCGGTGATGAATAATGTCATAAAGTTGTACATACAAAATTTTAATGTGAATATTAATGTGTGATTGTTCGTATATTTGTTGATGAATAATGTCATATCGTTGTATATACAAAATTCATAGTAGAATAGTAACATAAAGTAGTGTTGTCACGTTCTCACATTAAATAGTGTTCTCATTTGAACTTAACCCTATATATATTCAAATGTTCCTAACAACTATTGTGTGAATGTATTGATGAGAATTTAGAAAATAATAAAATAATTAGACAAAACTGCATTTTTCATCCTGTGGTTATCCAAAAATTGTGGATAAGGTCCAAAATGTTTTCAAGTCGCATGGTTGGTCCAAAACATGAAACTTCTTATGGTTTTGGTCCCTGGAGTTAACTCCCGTCTATTTCCTTCCGTTTAGTTTAGCACGTGCCCTCCATGTGAGTGTAATTTCGTCTTTTCATCTATTTGTCCTTGTGGTTTGAAAACTCCTTTAAGACCCAACCCACAACGTCCCTCTTCTCTTTCATCTTCATTCATACAACACAACTTTCTCTCTTACTCTTTCTTGCTTGATCGATTTCTTTGTTCACTCACAATGGTGCAACAACTGTGTTTTTGTGGAAGAGATGCTGTTGTGCGAACCTCCTGGATAGATTTAAACCCTGGTCGTCGTTTCTTTGTATGCCCTAAACAGGTAACAATGTGCAAAATTAGGTCAACGATTTTGATTTAATAATCCATCCACTTTTCTATATAATTGTAGGATTCAAAATGTGGATTTATTGGGTGGGTTGACTCCCCCATGTGTCCAAGATCGACAACTATAATACCAGGATTGCTGAGAACAATCAACAGGCATGAGCTGGATTTGGGGAAAATGCAACGTGATTCAACAAAACTCAAGATGTATTTGGTTATAAGCTGGGTTCTGCTTCTTTTGGTTATCTACTTTAGGAATTAGGGCTTACATGTTAGGGTGTAGTTTTTGGAAGATTGTTGTAATGTTGTGTTTTGGTGTTGGTTTTTGTAAGCTGAAAGTGTTAGTTTTTGTTATAAATTGTAAGCTGAAAGTGTTAGTTTTTGGTTATCAATGGTAACTTGTTTTAATGAAAGTGTTAGTTTTTGTCATAAATTGTCTCAGTTGAAATGGTTATGATAATAGTGTATGGTGTAATCCTGAAAATGTTAAATATTAACTATGATGTTAACCATAACAGAATACCAGAAAATACATTACCAAAAGCTGCTTTAACAAAACAAAAACCAAACATTACCATTAAGCAGTACCAAAATTACATAGCTATTGCATAATCATGTTTAAAAGTGCATAACCATTACATAACCAAGTTCAAAAGGGCATAAATATTACTTAATAACTATAGTTTTAAAACATTACCAACTATTACAACCACAAATAAAACAAAAAATCTAGTAGCCTACCCTTGCAACACTTCAAACTTCATTTGCTTGACTGGTACCTCCATTCCCCCCTTACCCTTGCATGTCCTGGCATTATGGCCCTTGTTCTTACACTTACTACATGTAACACTCACAAATTTCCTACTTAGCTTCTGACTTTCACATTGACCTTGTTGTGGGTTCTCTTTCTGACTTTGGCTTACATTCTTCTCATCAACAGTCTGCCTCCTTTTCTTTTTTGGTCTTCCTGGCTACTTGTGGTGTGGTGGAGGGGTAAGGGTTGTTGGACAATCACTCTTAGGCCACATGCTCCTTCCTTTGATAGGGTCGACTGTGAAAGAGTACATGCTTTTCCATGTTTCTAGCGAATACACCTTATGCACATAGGTGTACAATTCTCCTACTTGCTCACCACTGTCTTCCATTTCATTGATTGTTGCAATTGCATGCTTGCAAGGAATGCCTGTTAACTCCCATTTCCTACAACTGCAAGTCATCTACCCCATGTCCACAACATGTTGATCATGCCATGGCCCTTTAACCTGGTACTTACTCACTCCATTCCATCTTGCAGTGTATTGTGAAGCACTTGATATGTTTGCCTGTAACAACCTTTCACCAGTAGGTGTTAGTGGACCTGTGCACTTGTTTATCACCTTCATCACATTACATACTCCTTTCATAAGATATTCCTTATGAACTCCAAACAGGTTATTATTGGTTTATCCCTTCCTTTTATGAGCTTACTTTTGAAAACTTCACACA